ACATCGTGGACCTTCTGTGCTACTTTGTGGCACGTTCCGGTGCCATTAGTGGGCTCGCTGGCCTGAAGATCGCCGAGGAGGACGATCAGCCGGTGATACGATACTGGTTGCTCTTGAATCACGGCGATCGTGAGCCGCGGAAAACTTTGTGCAAGCAGCACAGAGGATCGGTAGGAGCGATCGAGGAGGCGGTGACCAATAAGGTCGGAGGAGAACGGATAAGAGACCCGGAGTCGGAGAACGATGGACCGCCTCCCGTTGCCAGGCCCGTTCCTTGGGCCCGGCCAATAGCTACGCTCTTTCCTTTTAATATGCTAACACTCACCGCCGACATTGCCGCTCTCCTAATGAAAAAACTCACGCTACCGTGCTTAGGTGTTAGATTCCCGGTCCCCGCAGTGTCGCCTGGTTCTGCTTGTCTTCGCGTCGTTAAGTCGTTCTTGTGGCCGCTCTGTGGCTATTAACATTTTCTTCGTTCACGAAGTTTCTTTAATTAGCACCTATCGTATCGTCGTTTCTAGCGATATTAAAGGCAATCTGTATTCCTTAGAACATTTAGGAAATACCAGAAGGAAGTTTCATTGATTTTTACTTTGTTAGTTTACTTTCACGTATCTTTTAATTCATAGTTGCTAGTTAGTAACGAGTCAAGAGATTAAATCCTTCTGTTTCGTATTGAAGTTCATAAGGATGGTTCGCAGAGTAACAAATGATTTTCCTGGGTTACTTATTGAAATCATAGGTGTATCATCCCCCAAATTCATTCCTGAATAAATCTTAATAAAGATGATTCGCATTTCACATTGAACCTGGTTAAGCGTGACAAATCTCCCAGCAGGTGATTAAACTTCAAAACTCTCTTCACGCGAATATTCGCGAAAAAGAAAAAGAAGTCGAGGGGTTTGCAAAAACGGAGCGTGACAGCTTCCATCCACCTTGTTGTCTCGCCTCGTTAACTAGCGCGCGGTACATTAGTCATGCGGCTTCTCTTGGTTATTCAGATCAAGCGGATTCGAAATTGATCCCAGAACTAGGACTCCGTATCTAGAATTTCGGGCGGTCGAAGAATGGGATCGAGTCCGAAAGAAAAATGATAGAGGACAACTGAAACGGTTGCTTCCAGAGCTGGAAGAGACGTGGACGGTGCAGCAAACCGAGGAGAAAAGAAATCGAGAAAGAGGAGCTGTGTCCAAGTTACGGTGGCGCCTTTTTGCATTTTTCCCGGCCGGCTCGGGAGTCACGACTTTGACCCCCCTGTTCCTCCCCCTTTTTCTGCCCGTTGTCTGCGATCGTCCTCGTACATTTACGCTCGCCATTCCTCTACGTCCACGTGTGTTACATCTACCTAGAGTCTTCCTGTAGTCGGACACTCGCGCGTATCTGCTGCCTAGCCGTGTTGCTTTCGACGGTGCTGATCTATCCGTTGTACAGGGCCACGCAGACTTTGTGTCCCAGAGGATCCCAACACGCTCAACGCTGGGTTTCAGTAATGAAATTATATTTTCAATTCCAATTCGCACTATAGATAGTTCTGGTAATGATTAACGCTCTATGGAAAGGGATAACAATTTTATATCAGGATGAAAAAGGTTAATTGTCTTGAGAACCACTGGTCTTAATAAGATTCTAAAATGGCTTCAAAGGATACTTATGAAACAATTTCTTTTAGAGAATTAGCAGAGGTATTTAATCTCAGAGTTTCTTTATTTTTCAATGTTTTCTATTTCTTTTAGGAAGGAAAATGGGAGGTGATGACTTCAGTTTACATAGTATTATTAAACTATTGTAAGAATGTTGGCTAGAGATGTAAAGGATAGTGTAGAACGCGAGGAAGGATATAAATCGTGTGTTTTTTGCGCGAAGTGTTCGAAGTTACGGCGTTAATTAGGTAATGATACAAGATATCGGAACGAAATCACCAAGCTAAGTATTCAGCCGAGGCAGCGATTGCTATTCGCCGCGTGCTAAGATTGATTACAGCGCATGTAACGCCGCATCTCATTAATGGGGATAGTAATAGAAGAAAACTGGCCGGCGATACGCTGTCGAGGAAGGGCTATCAAGACATTATTGCGATCCTTATAAGCGGGATAATGGCCGATAGAACGGGTTATCGCGGTATTAACAAAATTGCAATTGGCTGATTCTATCGATCGCGATCGGTTTTGCGCGTTTGTGAGATCATTAAGTAGGTGATTCATCTGTTTCAATCAATTCTATGGTCGTTCGCAAATATCCTCGGAAATCCTTAAAAAACCGTGCAAAAGCATGTTATCGCGCAACCGATTTTCTGCTTGGCATCGCAAATCATCGTATTCCATGTGTTTTAAAGGACATCCAGTAATTTGTAGACACAGAATCCGTGGGAACGGCGGCTGTAACTGTGATTTTTCTCGCGTCCCGTCGAGATACTAAATCACGAGAGCGGCAGCGATACATCTTAACGTTTTGAACAATGAGTTACGGCGGCGCGCGATCGCCGGTTCATAGATTCAACCGTTTGAATCGGCGATCGATCTCTCGACGCGGCGGTGGGCGGCCGGGGAGGGAACGAGGCGGGAAAATCTAATTGCATGTCAAATTGCGTTTGTTTAACCACGACGCGAAATTGTATGCAAATGATCGCTTCTTCGTGACCGGATTGCTTTAGCGCGATTTTCATTTTTGCTCGCCGGCTGTCTTGAGGATCGCCGCGCTCTCCTCTTGACCGTGATCGCGTGTGCTTTATGATTGAATATTCCTTCTGTGACCAGACACTTGGCCTAGGAATTCTAAACAGCTCTCAAAGGCGCCCGAGAAGTTAGATAAAGTGTTTCAAAGCCGTCGAGAGTCTAGGTGAAGCGTAGATTTGAGAATCCCTAGGCTCCAATGATACCAAAGATCCCCAAAACTCCAAGAGTCTAACACAGTGGTCTCAGAGGTCCAAAGTTTCAAGGATTTCAAAATTTTCAAACTTCAAATACTATCACAGAACTCAAGTGTCCAACGAATTCAAAATCCAAGGATTTCGCGATGACCAAAAGGTCGCAACGTCAACGAATCCAAAACATTTCGTCAACCCCTAATTTCCAGCTTCCGAAAGAAGCTCTCGCCAGAATCGTCCTCGCCGGGCCGGACACCGGCGCGTCTCCTCTCCGCCGAGCATGCATATACGTATCTGTTAAGTCGACATAATACCGCGGGGCCCGCGTCATTATGTACTCCATAAGTCTCCGGGGCCCTGTGGTCCCTCTCCTTTTCCTTCTCGTTCCGCTCCGAGTTCTGCTCGGGCCTCTTGCGAGCAAAAAGGGGGAAAAGAAAAAAGGGGCGCAGAGAGAAACGTCGGGTAGTAAGGCACGGATAGAAGAAGTAGGGTGGGCGAGGAGGTGCGCGGCGAAGGCGGTCGGTGCGCGGAGCCTTCTCGGTGTACCCGGATACACTCGCTGCGGGCCCTACACCGCCCCCACCTCGTCCTCTGAGGCCCATGGGACCCGTGAGGCCCAACGGCGGGGCGCGCGGTGGGGGCAAGATGCTGGCTGTAGCTTGGTGTGGCGTTCACCAGAGCAAAGAAAGAGCAAAAAGGATCCGTGACCAAGGGGGTTGGCGAGGTGGGGGCAGCCGCGGCGGTGTGGTAGGTGGAGGGACAGCGGGAGGAGGGGGATTTTTGCGCTCAGGGTCAGAGGCGTACATCACCCGCGCTCGCGCTCCCCGTAATAGACTGACGATCAGCCGGATTTCTATGTGCTGCACCGCCGGGACCCGCAATGAGAGCATAATTTTCTATCGTGCTTAATACCCGACCGTTCGCGGCCAAGGAACACGCTGGTAACGAGACGCCGCTGACGGATTTACGGCGTTCTCCGTTCGCGGCCGACGCCGACGCCGCTGGTACCCTTCGTCCTTTTTTACCCTCTCTCTTTTTCTTCCGTTAGTCCTCCGTGGAAATTGAGTTGTGACGCTCCTAATGGAGGTCGGGAACGCGACGGATGATGGACCGTGACGTGACGTGACGGGGCAACGAGAGAGATTTCGATCCTGCGAGACACGATGGAGATCGATTTATTGGTCTCGCGGAGGGATTCGTCGTTTCTTTCTGCGGGTTCGTTTTTGTTGTTCCTAGCAAGGAATTCTGGGTTTATTTGGGTGGGTTCTTCGGCGATTCTCGAGACGATTTGTCAAGTGGAACGTGGACGCAGGTGCGAACACGGTTGGCATCGACTGCCGCGTTACAAGAGCACCGTACACCGTGAATATTGCATGAGCGACTTAACTGTTACACGACGCTCCAGATTTGGGGAAGTCGGATAGGCGACCGACGATTTCGCGCGGGCTGACCGTCGCGTTTGGTCATCCGGAAGCGATTACACCTCGCGTATCGGCGACCCGACATTTTATTCGCGACGCGGCTCGCATAAATATCGCCGCGATGAACGAGACCGCGTAACAAAAGGATCGCGGAGACCCTTTTCCGACCTGCCTTTTAATATCGGCTGGTACTTTTAGAAACTCGGTTGGGCAACTACTACTCGGTCAGGCTAAGAAATTAATGAGAATGATGCTCATCTTCCAACGAACGTGTGCTTGGGGCGGTCTAGATTAATGCAGATGCGATACAATATACAAGTGCAAGTGTCTTCGGGTAATGGAATAAGAACATGAAATATTAACGGAAGATAATACGTTGTGAAGCAAGTCCTTGCGATTAGGATTCCGAGAAAGCCCGGCCAGGTATACTCGCCGAGGATTTTCTTACGTGGTCATTTGCCTGTTGCTTTTGTTGGCGTGCAGATAATTTCGAGTTACAGGTTAAGCAAGATTCACTTGGCTACAGTAAACAAATGTAGAATAAAGGTGAAAAAATTCATCGACGAGTTGAATATTCCTTGTTAACACTGGTTGTTCTCGTATATTGAATTTTGTCGATTGAACGACACCTGGAAATCTCGGTGATCGACGAAGTTACCATTTTTTGGTAACAGCAAGAGGTGGCAAGCGATCATGAAACTGTATTTTCGTTGCAGATCGGACGAGGACGATCCGAGCGGGTGTAAATATAGGAGGCTGGAGGACGAGAACGTGCAGGACAAAGAAAGATTTGCGAGGTGAGTGTCAGGCTCAACGTAACGTGCATGCTCTCGGTCTTACGATAAATGAGGGAGGTCAGTGAACGGGTTGGAGCCTCCTTTTTTGGTGGAAACACGCGTCCGCGAGGAACCGAACAGCTATTACGCACCGGCTCACACGAAAGTCCGCCATTTTCGTTTTTAATTGCTGGAACAAACTGATTTAATAACGCTCGCAAGAAGTTTAATTATAGTAATTGCCATTCGGCTGCTTAGACGAGATAGTATTACTGTGTTCGTACCAGAGATATCAACGTTGAACCATCGATACACCGATTTCCATTAACTCCGCAGAAATTATATGTTTCTAAAAATTAACCGACACTTTAGGCGTGTTCGAACGCTCGCCACGAGTCCGAGCGGAAAATGGCCTGATAAATTTAGGCGTTCAAACGGTTACCAAATTACCTGTTACAGAGAAATACTGCAAATTCCAGGCTAAACATAGTAATAAATGCTGTAACTCTTAGAGTAATTTATTTCACTTTCTAAGGCTCTACCGAGATAAGTATAGCACCGTGTAATCAACGTTGCCTATAATAGTCTCACTTTCCACTGACCATTTCCACTATCAATAACGTTTTCCATCTCACTCTTTATCAGAGGTACCAAGTCTGTTTACTGTAACCTGGAATTCGAGTGCAATCAAGATTAACCCTTTGCACTCTAGAGGTGACTCTCAGTTACTACTTGATTTGATGCAGTAGAACTATAAAATTTGATATTTAATATTAAACTATGTATAATGCATCGGCGTGTGAAATATTGGGATAAAAAAAGCTTTGTTCCTCAATTCACTTGCGATTTCTCTTTGAGTTCATTTAAAAAAACATCCTCTTTGTCTAGTCAGAAAATGTTAAATATATCTAGCGAAATACTTCTGAGTGCAATCAAGATTAAAATGAACCCTTCGAGTGACTCTCGCTGCTCTTTTTACAGTAAACTTACAAAGTTCCATATTTAATATCAAAATACTTACAATACCTCCAACGAACCACCTGTATCTCACCAAAGTCAAATATTTTCGAAAACAGAAACAGAACCGTCTAAAATACGAAAGGATCTGCGTCTCTAACAAGTTTCCTCGGGTTCCTAAAAACACAGAGATCCGTCACGATGGTGGTCGAAAGATGGTAAAACCGAGGTGCCCACCGAGAGTCCTCGTTCCCAGTGGGATACTTAAATAATCATTTCACGGCGATTCGCACGGTCCTCTATCTCGGCCGAAAAATCAGTGGAGAGCCGGTTCCCGGCGTCCGTCGTCGTCGTCGTCGTCGTCGTCGTCACCGTGCACAGGACGAACGGGCTCGGGTCCTAAATCGTGTCTCGTCTCTTTCCGTGTTCCCCTCGGTGGCTTCTTTTCTGACGAGCCGGTGACGGCACTTGTTAATTCGTCTCACGGAATCCCGGGCCAATATGTTCCGCGGCGGTACACCCTGTACATGGCGGGGGCCGGGTACGAAGATACATACATACCTACATGATACCCGCCAATGTGAGTCGATAGCGGAATGGGAAGCCCTCCAGGCTGCTCCAGCGTGGGAACATAAGGTACTTATACGTGAGCTCTCTCGCGCGCGAACGTACCCGCTCGCTCGCCCGGTTCCGTCCTTTGGTTTCTTACGTCTACACCGAACACATCGTATCTCGGTCCTCTATCGCGATCCTCTCCGTGTTGACACGACGCGATTTCGCGAAATGAAATACGACGAGCGACGCGTATTACGCCAGACAATGCGCGCCGTTTCTGTATTGTTGCGCCGTTGCTCCGCCGCTGGGACTGTTCGACGACCGATCGCTCGGAATTCTGGTTCAGCTTTATGGCCGCCTCGGACGCGATTTCAGACAAACGAGCCTTCTGATGGATAAACCTACGAAGATCGTTATGCATTTATCGGTTTGATCTATGGAGTTCATTGGAAGGTTAGCTTCAATCACGGATTAATGTCTTAGGTTACCTTGGGTACGTTAGGTCGGCGAGACTGATAAATGTGTGTATCGTTTTCGGGAATTTTTGCGGAGCGCGGTATAATGATTTGTATCCGATGGACATTTAGACCGACGAAGAAAATATTGAATTTTCCAACAAGTCGCGCACGCGAACGTCAAAACTAAACGCGGATCGGGCATGAGTCAGATCTTGAGACAGCCACGACGCGTAATTGCACCCCATCTTTTGTCTACTCTTAATACCAAGCGTGTCGATTACACGTTCTGCAGGCGGAAAGTCATGCCGTAGGTCCCCGAAGCTGTCGCCTGTTGGAATATTCGTGGAAAAGTTCATGCGGAGTCGTTTCTCTACACTTTCAACCTACTCGGAAAGTGAAACAATAACTCAGGTATACAGCACAACGTATACGCCCTATAAGTTTCGAATCGATACAATAATTTCCATTAAAATAGAGTATCAACGACTGCATTCTTCATGTTAAAACCCATTTTCCAAAGAAACGTTCGCATATTGTCCAAAAACCAACTTAACAAAATTAAGGCCTCCCGACAGCAGTCGTTAAAATAAGTAATTTAACCCTCTGCACTCAACAATATTTTTCAAATTATTCATACTTTCGATAAAAGAAATATTAAAGAAATATTCATTACTTTCTGACTAAGTATTAACGATATTTTTCGCAACTAACGCAATTGATTATCTGATATAAATTAAGAGACACAACTATTTTACTTCGATGTTTTATGTGTTGATACAGTACACAAGGTTTAATATTGAATTGAAAATTTTATAAGTTTGCTGCGTCGAATCAGGTGGCGCCCCTCGAGTGCAAAGGGTTAAAAGAATAATTGATTTTCACTTGAAAGAATTAAGTGACATTCATATTTGTTAAATTGTATTTGAAGTACCACGATTCTAACACGATACGATAGAGCAAGGGGTTAATGAGGGTTCGAAGTCTCGGAGATCCTTCGATCCGCGAAATACGAACGTAATGATCCGCGTTGATCCATGCGGATTCCGTGGAAAAGTCGGCAAAAGCCGCAGCGGCTACGATGTCGCGGACGACCGGGAACCTCGCTGTTAAGTTAATAACGCAATTACCGGCTCCTGCGGCGAGGCGCGCAACCCTTTCGTCCTTTTCCTTGTTTTTCTCCGGGCGCGACCCGTTAATGCGGACGGTACCCGGCGATTTTTGGCAGCGCGATTGTTCCGCGAAACCGCGGAATCGGCTTTTTCTCCCCTTTCTTTCCGCGGAAACGCCGCCGCGCAGCGCTGTAATTTCCTGCGTGGGTTCATCATGGCGCCCGACCCCCTTGCGGTGGCATAACTCGCCCCCGAAACGTAATTCGCATCGGTTTCCCCGTTCCCTTCGAATTCATCTCAGGGACGGCGAGTTAACTCGTTCGTGTTCCCGCCGACTGCTCGTTTCTTCGATTAATAAATCTTGTATTCTTATTTTGCCACGTTGCACACTTGTTTTGTGTAATTGGAACAGTAAAAGGTTTCCTTTTTATAGAATAATGGACGAAAGGAGGATAATTTTAGTGAATGTCTTGTGCTTCAATTTTCGTCTTTTCCTTTTGCAGAGAGGTGTATATTTTTGTAATTTTCTTCGAGGAATTTCTTAAGTAAGTGATACGAGAAAATACGTTAAATTGTTCTGATTTAATTATTTCGTTTTTGAAGTTTTGTCGATCAGTGTGGTCGTCACGGTGTAGAGAACCGATCCCGGTGATTTCAACGGCTGGTAAGAACGGTAAATTCAAGCTTGAAACCATCCACGTGGAAGGAGAATTTATTCTTCGCTAATACAATAACTTTTTGCTGTATCCTTTATGCAAAGTAAATCCCGTGGTACCATGATTTTATTGGCGAGACGTGAAAAACGTGGATATCCGAAGCTGTTAAGCTGGCAGATCCAAAGATTGTTACGTCCGTGAACGACGAATACAGCGATTTGACGATTACGCTTGCACGGTAGTAAACGTACCGCGGGAGAATTTATCGTCTAACACTCGCACGTTTCACCCGTGATTATAATGTCTTCGTTCGGAAATGATTTAAGGGACACTTAACGAGCCCCGTACTCACGATGGAATCACTGTTTCACTGTTTTATTATTTTATGCCTTTGCGTATTACACTGCGCGCTCGGCCTCCGCGATAGAAATCAGATACATACTGTGCAACGATATCCGGATTGCAGTTGTTTATGCAAATTCGCGTTTAGTTCCGATGCAAAATTATAGTTTATTTCTTCCATTGATATTCACTCTATTTAAACCGACATAAAAGTGTACGAACTTATATCGAATCTCATGGTTTATAGTTCTAAAATGAGAAGTCGAGAACCAATAACACTCAAACTCGACTTAATGCATAAACGAGCTAGATAAAGTATCTTACAAACTCTAAATTCAATTCAGACGAACTAAGGAACGAAACTATCGTTTGGTAGAATCAATTATTACTTCAACCACCAAATCAAACCTAGAATTACAGTTTCATTCTTTCATTCCGTCGAATCAAATCGAAACTATCAACGAATCACCTTCGAGTAAACTCGTCGTCCATGCCGCAGACCCGGAAGTCCGTCATTCCGCGGCAATAAAAATGAATCGCCGGCCCGTTTCGGATCGCGAACCTAACATCTGTCCCCATTAGCATGCGGGAATATTAAGATTTGTCATAAATCACTGGACGCTCGTTAGCATACGTCCGCCGGTATGCTGCGCGCTCGGAATATATTCGATAACGAATACGATCGCATTAAACGATCCTCGATCGATTCATAATTCATTTCATTGTTCCGTTGCCTGGTTAGAAAAGCTAGGCAGAGAGCAAGAGGCGGAGCGGCTGAAGGCAGACAGAGACAGACAGTCGTTAGAACTCCTATCGACAGTTCGTTCGTACGGTCGTTAGACGAATCCATAATTCACCGCGCGGACGTTGTCATTTATAGGATCGCGGGGTACCGACGTGTATCGGCGTCGACGTGAACGACGACGACGACGACGACGATGACGATCACGATGATGACGATGATGATGACCACGACCCGATCTCGCCACGATCTCCTTTTCCTCCGTGTGTCCAGCCTCTTCTTCTTCCTTCGCCCCCTTCCAACCCGCCCAGAATGATTTTATGTGTGCGGTACGTGTATTTCTGTGCCGACTTTGTATCATCGTAATGCGGAGATCGATGTACGGGGTGCACGGTTCAAGAATGGACTCTATACCTTGACAGTGTATTCAGAAGACTTCGGTGAAAAGGTTGTTCCAATGGAACGGATGAATTTTTCTTTTACTTTAGTTTTGTTGCTTCGATGGTAGCACTTTGACGTAATGTTTCTCTTTTCATTTCTTCTGAATGACTTGAGAACTTAAACGTCCACTGAAGTCTCCCGTTTCTTCTCGATTTCTTTCATTTCTGTTACTGCATCGTCTGAGTCCATTGAATTCAGATTTCGAGTGTGTAAATTTAGTCGGCTAATTGCAAAGTCCAGAGCACTGTAATGACATATCTTTCTTAGCCCTAAAGGTTTTTCTATAGAATCCACAGGTAAAAATTCTTTCAGCCTCCTATGATTCAGTTCTTTGATCTCCATACACAAATAGAATTGACGATAATCAAAAATGTAGTTCAACGGTAAGTCGTCTAGCTGAGAATTGGGTTTGATATAAGAACGAGCACCCTGTATAACCTTCGCTGGACCCACGGAGCGAGCGGGCAACTTCGGAACGTCTGACCCTTGACCCAGGAGTTCTCTCCGTCTTGCTCCGTGGATCGCGTTCCTCTTCTGCGCCCCTTTCTCCTCGTGTTCTTCTACCGTCCTGCACGTTACATACCCTGCTTTATACTTGCGCTTTAAGCGCCCTGGCCTCTTTTAAATAGCGGGCCTGCTCGAGGGGGCCCACGTCGGCGAGGAGCGTTACCGATCCTCCTGGACTTCCAACGAAATGGAAGGTCCTGCCTCTGAACATCCACCTGGAATATCATTACTGGATCTCCTCCGACCTGCGCCTTAAACTTCTGCGTATCGAACCTTGAGAAATGTAGCGTACTTTCTTAATACGGCGTATCGTTGTCATCGTTACTCGGGTTCCTTAACGTTGGAACTACCAAACAGTCTGGCTTTTTCCAACTTTTCTGTGGAGAAACTCAAGGTGCATCAATTGAGGTTTCATGACTTAAAATTCAGTTTGCATATCACGAAAACAATTCGATTATTTCTCAAACGTTTGCTATTTTGTCGATGGTTTTAAAAGGAGTCGGGAACAGGTCACTTTGATCTATCTGGTAGTTGTAGACGTTTTTTTTATTATTTGTTACTGCTTATGAGTTTGTGCTTGTTGTATTGTGTAGGTATATCGTTGTTGGATGGGGTTTTGTAATGAGTTTATATTAGACTTGGTAAGAGTTGACAGCGAGAAGATTAAAGGGGGTGTGAAGTTTGGAATGAATCGCATAGCGTTAATAATAGAGCAGCCATTTTAATTAAAATGGCGTTGCTTCGCGGGCCAACTGGAGAACGATTTTATTGAATGGGGTCGCGGTGCTCCAGACGGGGTGGATGTCCTGGACGCGGAACCTAACGAGAGGTCAATGTTCACGACACGAAGACATTACCTTGGACATAAATCTAAACAATATTCTCTTTCAGTCACGTTTCATTTATGCTTCGATGATGACGGAATAGTATAACACGTCACGTCGCTATCGCTCGCGAATGTACCGGCGAAGGGATACGTAGGAAAATCGAATTGAGCTAGGCACACAGTGGTTGGTCACATTTCTCGTTAAACTAGTCGAAAGAAATGTACGTTTACGATTCAATCTGCTGTTAAATCGAGATTTCACGCGCAAGTTTTGTAAGGTATAAAACGGAGCAACGAATGAAGTTAAACATTTTCTATCTATTTTTATCGGTGAAAAATCAAGCTTTCTATCTTTCTCGAATGTCAATCCATTGATTAATCTTTGTTAGTACAAAGCCTTGGAGTATGATTCATAACATTACTCGACGAAAAGGATATAAAGTTCACGGAGAAAACAAGGGGCGTAATAAAAATGGAAAATTGAATTAAAGATGCTGCGGTATTCCCAGGAATTCGATGTGATTTTCCGTGTATTTACATGAACGAAATGAAACCCGGGGTTCCGAAGGCGGAATAAGTATGAGGTAATAGTTCCTGATGGACTCGGGATGAGATGGAGGGTCTTATCTCCCCGGTAGACGCAAGGAACTTCTCCCTGGCGATATCAAAGCCTGAGAAACATCTCGGATACGAATCACGGACTCGCGAATTTGAAATTCGAAAAGAGAAGACCACGTTCCCACGAATTAGTCTACGGTAATACGAATTTAAGTGAGAATCCAGTACATAATCACAGTGTTCGAAGCAACAATTATACGAAAAAAGCATTTAATACGGCAGAGAATAAAACGGGAATTTAATATTCCCAATGATTTCGCGATCACGGAGGAGACAAGGGTTGAGCCTCGGACGGTAGGGTTAATTAAGAAATAAAATTCGCCGGTAGTTACGGTCCACGCAGCTTCCAAACTTTCTTGCGTGTCGATCACCCTCGCCGTCTCCTCCCGCGGAAATTATCAGAAATTAAATGCCATTAAATTTACGATTGCGCGCCGACAATTACCGGCGCAGCGAAAGAGACGTGGGCCGTTACTCGCTGGCGGTTACCCTCTGGTAGCGTAATAACAGGGAGGCCCCCTCCCCCTACTGAAATTGTGGTCTCACCCGATATCCTTCCCCGACGGAGCATCGTTTCAGAATTTATTGGCGGCATCGATCACGAACACTCTTATCAATGACGGTCGCTCGATCGGAAATTCCTTCGCGCCCGCCCCCGGATTCCTTCGAACGGACATCGACATTTCCGCTTTCGTTTGGCCTCGGTTCTCATCTGGAAAATTCTCAACAACAAAATTCCTTGATAGCCCCTGATCTTCCTTCGAACCTATTCAAATCGATTTCCATGATTTTCATCGGTGTCGAATGAACATTTTACTTTCAACGTGAATCGTGATTAATACCGATCGGCATACCGTGGAGTTGTATGCAGGTTCACATTTTTAGGAAGACAATTATAAAAATATAATTACAATGGAAAATAGACTTTTAACCCGTTGCGCTCTGTTGCCACTGCGGCGACATTGTAAGATAAGTTTATAACTTCAGTTTTAGTCAAACATAACTTTAAAATGTATACGCGCTTTTTTAATGACAAAGCAGGGTCATATTAGCTCATATTAAAACTGTTTCGGAGTTGCTGAAAGGTTGTATTAAAAATTGTTCGGAGTGCAAAGGGTTAAAACGAACTACACTTTTGAATACATCTTGGATCGCGAGAGATTTCGTTATTTTTCGTTGGTATCGAATGCAGTGGATTGAAGGGGATTGAAGAGAAACGTTCGGTAAGGATTTTAGAGGATTTTTCAGGACGCAATTCCTCCGGAAGGATCAAGAATCCAGCGTTTCCCCGGTTCGCGTGTAATCGACCACCCTCCCCCTCCGCCCCCGTCGTTTACGATCCTCCCGCCGTCAGACGGGAAGCCATTCCTCGAACTATGCAATTACCTTGGTTTTGTCTTGCGACTTACTGCAGGGAGAATCATTGTGAAATCGAGCGGCGGCGGCGGAACAAGATGACCGCCTACATCACCGAACTATCGGACATGGTGCCGACGTGTTCAGCGCTGGCGCGGAAACCGGACAAATTGACTATACTCAGGATGGCGGTCGCCCACATGAAGAACCTCAGGGGTGAGTACCTTTTGCTACCCTTGCATTATCCTTCTATTGAGTTATTGGTACACTGTGAAATTCTGTGTATCGTCAAATTTTGAAACTAATCGAGGTTCAATAGAATTCGATGCTGAACCCCTTTGCGGACGAAGATTTTTTGAAATATACAAAACCATCAGCAGATGAGGCTGAACTATATATATTAAATAATTGAATAGAGGAAACTAAGCACTGATCTCTTGCCGTTTGAGAAATTGAATCATTTGTCGACTTAGCGGTATAAACATGAAAACTGTCGCCGAAATATCGACATTCGTTCGCAAGATTTCTATTACAAACTCAGTTGAATCAAACGTTTCCCAATAGTCCCAATTTAAAGTACATCGAGCATAATAGCCCCTCAGCTCGAACATTTCATTTCGAAGCATGAGAATTAGTCGAATCGGCGATCAGCAGAAACGATATTCTCGAAGTTCGACATCGATAGTCGCGCGGGATCGAGCTAGCTCGCCGGAGCGTAATTCAATCGCTGCGAGTCAAAACTCGAAGATCGCATTGCCGAAGTTATTCCGCTGCCCGTGCCGGATAACTTAAACAACTCGAGGACTTAATCGTCACGTCCCTCGGTTGGCTACTTTGTGCCTTATCGGACACCTATGGCGCAGCTAAAATCGTATTTTCCTTACGTTCGATAATATGGATGCAAATTTGAAACTTTGATTAGCTACCCTGACCAGTCGGGAGCCGAGGGAGCGCTCGGGTAGACGCAACCGAGAGGACATTGACCAGTTGCGACTGGAGTCCCGCTCGAATGTACTGACATCAATTTCAGAAGCATAACACAATGTAATACCGAAATCCCGAAGACTTTCTCATTACATATAACAGAATATCCGTTCCCTCTCACAGTTACTCAATACTCAATCTAAAGCATAAAATCATAGTTAACCAGAATCGTGAGAAAGAACAGGTAACTGGCACTCTAAAGATTGAAAGAGTCATCAACCTTCAATCAAAATTGTATTAACCCTTTGAACTCTGTAGGCTCCAATATTGCACCAGTTATAATATTAAATATTTTAATGAATCTTAAAGAAACTACCCTAAAATTCTTCGATTTTCCACACATCCAAATTTTATACTGAGAAGGAAAATAAAAGATCGAATAAATGTTGCATTTCTCATTTTCGCTAGGAATATTAAAAATTAGTTGCAGTTGCTGATAGATTACAAAACCTGGAGTGCTAAGGGTTAATCGATAACGGTCCTCGTGTAACAACAATCTTGCAAATATCTCTCCGCGTACCTGAAAGAAGATAACAATTACCAACGAAGATCAATCCTCCGAAAATTATCCCAGATACTCACGCGGTTTGGTCGGCGCTCGCGGCACCGAAAGGGGGATGTCAAGCATTGTCCCGTGGTTCATCCGCTTCTTGTCAGTCTCCGTAGGTGAATCCATCCGGCCGGCCGGGCTGCACCGGAACGGTCGTAATTCACCGAAGGTTTCGTCCGCGCGTTGGTCATATCGAATGCAGAAAGCGCGATTATATGCTTCCGGTGTAAGAATGGGTGGAGTTGCCCGGTCGGCTGTCCCTTTAGCCCCGGCCTGCGTGCACACACGCATCATGCCGGGTTCCCTCCCCCTCTCCCCCCGTTTCTGGATCGGTGTGCGTGCCGTGATTCCAGCTAAGTATTGGTGGTGCGTCGCATTGTTTATAGCCACTTCTCCTCTTTCCCGACAAGAGGGCCGCTGAATACAAATTGCTCGAACCGGAGGAGCCTCTCTCTTACCTGACCGGAGAGGAGAGGCTATCGCCTCCGGGATACGTCGACGTTCGTCCCCGCGTGCACGCACCAACCCCTCGCCCACCGTCCCGACGCTTCTTTCGTCTATGCACTCGTACTTTCGGCTTTGAACCTGAGGATTTCAGCTTGAAACCTTTAGGGACGCTATGCGAAGCTTCCTCGTCGCTAAATATTCGATAAACACGTTGTTTCTTCCGGCTGGGACGTTTCAATCCTCGGAATTCCATGATTCAGTGACTTGGCACTTGCGGCGCTCGACGGAAAAATCCTGCAACCGATAGACGAGGAAAGTGTCAGCGTAGGTTATTACTTGTTACCATTCGCGAGGATCGATCGGAGAATTATTTAGTTCCCGATACGAGAACCGTATTGAAAGTTGATGGGATAGAAGGAGAGAGAAATTCGGTACCAAACCACGGTACCAAAAATGAGGACGGTGCAGCTCGGCAGCGCAGGTAACTATCGAGGTGCAAGATCGGAATTGCAAAGCGGACAGGATCCCGCGAGGCGGCAGGGAACGAGACAGAGAAAGAAAGGAAGAGAGAGAGAGAGAGATAGAGAGAGAGAGAAAGAGAGAGAAAAGGAGGGAGGTAGAGAGAGAGGGCCGCGATGCGATCTTTACCCCGATATACGGAGAAATTCCGGGAAGAGGTACTTTAACGACTTCCAAACAAGATCTATGGAAGACCCCGGGTGACCTTCGTTACCATTACCTTCCACGTGGAGAACGTCTTCGATGGACATTAATGCCGCGCGATTCGGTCGGGTTTCCTTCCACGAGCGGAGACGGACGATCATCCAACGTGCCGGCCCGCCGGCGATCTTAGCACTCTCTTGATCTGGATCTATATACACTATTACATTTAGTAGCGACGTAAATCATAGTACCCCGATGGCTTCACTTCCACGAGATCACGAGATATCGGTGCGCCTTCGACTGCGGCCGTCTATTCTGCCTGATGTGAGTCTTAGACGATGATCCTCGATGTCTCTTCGGACGATCGGTTTATGGTCATCGAATAAATTCTTCGCTCGAGCTTCGTCAAACTAGGCTCAATGGGAGAAGAATATGTTCGGAACTAGATTTTTGTGAGGATATTAAAAATTGGAAACCGACAGTTTCAATTGTGCCAGAGAAATATAAGGTGCAGTGTCCCGTAGTCTGCGGTACGAGATTTTAGGGGATGTAAAGTCTGGGTGGATCGATAGCTCTCCGTAGGTGGAGATGTTTAACAAAGGAACGATTAGATTCCGCCCCAAAAGCGTCTTCGATCTTCACGTACAAGGGTACTTAACCGTTCCTCCCAGCAAGCATTTGTTTCGCCTGGAAAGCGTTACCTGATACACGTGCACTCCCTGTCCGACGTATTGTTCCGATCAATAGCCGCCATTTACATCAAACGTGATAGAAAATACACCTTCGTTAAGGAAAAACGTGACCTTCTTCGATGGAAAATCGATGTTTAGGGTTTGTCCCGCGAGTAAGCGTACGGTAACTTAGAATCCAATCCGATCCTCGATGGAAATGAGCGTCGTCCATTGATCGAGGGGAACTTTTGCTTCAGGTACCGGGAACGCGACCACGGATAACGCGTACAAGCCGTCTTTTCTCACTGATCAGGAGCTAAAGCACTTGATCCTAGAGGCCGCGGATGGATTCCTGTTCGTGGTCAGCTGCGACACGGGGAGAATCATTTACGTCTCCGATTCGGTCGCGCCTGTCTTGAACTACACGCAGAGTGATTGGTACGGCACCAGTCTCTATACACAGGTCCATCCAGACGACACCGAAAAGGTGAGAGAACAGTTAAGCGCGGAAGAGCCGCAACACGGAGGCAGGGTGCTGGACCTGAAGACTGGAACCGTGAAGAAAGAAGGCCAATGTGAGTGGACACCTTTGCTTCCTGTAACAAACTTAAAGTCCTTCCAATAGTTAGACCCTAGGAAACATAACTTAGAGAATTTTGTATATATTTACCGATGAAACCACAGTAGCATTCCATCCATAAATGTTTCCGCAAGGTTCCGCGATACTAAACTACAAGAATTTAACACGTTGAACGCCGCACGAAAAAATACAATATTAAATCGTTTGATTGAATTAGATTATTACCATTGCACGTTCGTCAAACTGAATGTCACCGCAGTGGGTAGCATTATTTACAATATAGAAATGTTTGCGAATAATCATCGTTTAATCGAGTGAATTATAGTAGTTCGATTTGCTTGGAGGTCACCGGTGACCGCCATGGCATTCAACGTGTTAAAGAAAGTCGCAATACTTATTAGCAAAGTTTTTACAGTCGAATCGTTCGAGGCTAGGTCGAAAGTCTCCGGTTTCTATAATGTGATTTTTCGTTCCCAGTTGGCTTACATTGTGTAACCAGAATATTGAATACGACGAACGCATACGTGTTGCAGCATCCATGAGGATGTGCATGGGTTCGAGAAGAGGCTTCATATGTCGCATGAAGGTCGGGAACCTCCAGACGACCGGCGACATGGCGGCTGCTCACGGTTTCCACCGTATGAAGCAGAGAAACTCGCTCGGGCCGAGCAGGGACGGCCAGAATTACGCCGTAGTCCATTGTACAGGATACATCAAAAACTGGCCCCCCACCGGTGAGTTTGGTACGGGTTCGAATGTTTCGTCGTTAATCGTCGGCATAACGGTCGGCCGCGACGTAGCGCCAACTTTCTATTTTAAAGCGAGGGAGACGACGCGCAGGTTTGAATATGAACGAACCGACCGGCTTCGTAGAAATACGGGGATAGCGACGTTTGTACTATAAATTAAGAGTGGCTAGAGTGGCTTAGAGGCGGACAGACTACGGGCGTATAGCGTACGGATCGGTTTATAAGAATGAATGGAATCGTCTTGACCTAACAGCCGACAGACGGGCCGGAATACCGATAACTATGCCGGGGACGGGCTGATGCGGAATTCGTATGCTCTATCGTGGCCCCCGATGCATAATAAGGGGGAGCCGGCTTAATGGCGGAATCCCGGTGATTTTCGTGCGTTTCCGTGTCCCGACATTCAAATCCCATTCGATCGTAGCTCTTCTGATTTTTTTTCTTTTTTGCTTTCCGATCTCGGTTTTCGGTTGTTCGTTGTTACTAGAGATACTTGTAGTGTGAATTTTTTTTGAAATGCCACGATTAGATGTATAAAATCACATACACTGTAGCATAAGAAATTGTAAATACACACTCAAACACACTTAGCACGACACTACAGCATGCAACAGTATAGAAGTCACAACCAGTGAATGATTATGAGAAGTCGTAGACTGATTCATAATTTTACGCTGTAGGTGATTTTGTTTCCCCGTGTGTACCATGTGTGGGTATAGGTGACAGGGGACCTGGTAGTGTTCAAGCTAGAGCTGACGGTGTAGTTGCAGATGAAAACACCAACAGCAATTGCTGCTTGGTCGCCATTGGACGACTACAGGTCACTAGCACACCAAATAGTAGCGATTTAGCAGGTTCCAATAGCAATAATGGTAAGTAAACGCTGAGAGCCGTTGGAATAATTTCTGATACCGAGTGTATTCGATCCGGTAAATCATTCGGGCAATTATCGAACTTTGCAGAATTTATATCGCGTCATTCAGCAGAAGGTAAATTTACCTTTGTGGACCAAAGAGTTGGTGGAATTCTAGGCTACACACCCTCAGAACTCTTGGGTCACCCGTGCTACGAATTCTTTCACCCAGAGGACTTAACGCATATGAGGGAAAGCTTTGAGCAAGGTTTAGTACCGTGAAGTGCGCAAGGATCAATTGTCTGCACGTTTCATTGTCCTTAATGAATGCTTGTCTTTACAGTGCTGAAGCTGAAAGGACAAGTGGTGTCTGTGATGTACAGATTTCGAGCCAAAAATCGCGACTGGGTCTGGTTAAGGACGTCTGCATTTGCATTTTTAAACCCGTTCAATGACGATGTTGAATACATTGTCTGCACAAATACGCATGCAAAGTAAGTTCCCTCGCACCGGCGATATTTCTTTTATTATAACATTTTCTGCGATACACAGTGATTGTAATAAATGTACTCGCTAATTCTTTAAGATCGTTTCATCCTGGCAGCGAGGGCCAGACCGAAACCGAAGCTGTACCTGCCTATGGTCAACCTGGCTTAGATTATTCTCTTCAGAGACATCCTGCTAGGGATTCATTGTATTCGGGGCATCATATGATGCAGCATCCAGCAACTGTAGCTACAGCTGGTAAATTATTACTTTCGTAAGAGTAATACGTAATGTTTCCATCGCATGATGTTTATTTACGTCGCGATGTTTGTTAGGTCCTCAACAACCGAGGCCGTCCAGTACACAAAACGTTTATCAGGGATATGAAACCACACAGTCACCAATAGCTTATGGTTCACCTGGACAACAGAGTGCATCTTCTTCGGTTTTAAGTAGAATCCAAAAGCCAGCTAATACATCGCCAACTCCGGTGCAACAAGCATGGGCTATTGGAAGACAGGTAAATACCATTGGGCTGATTTCTACTTAGCATTCTTAACTTCAGTTATTAATTGCTATGATTTTTACTGTGTAGCAGCCAGTAACAGAAGGATATCAGTACAGTCAATTAAGTCCATCTAGGTCACCAAGCGGACCAACTTATACTCAATTAAGTGGCGGTGCTAGAACACCGGCAACGCAGTATCATGCAGTAACCACAGTGCCTAATAATCCGGGTAAATGTAGCCTTCATTTTATATATTTCTTTGTTTGTATCATTCCTGAAAGTAGGATTATGAGGATACGTCTGATTCTTCAGGTATGTGGGGGTGGCAGAGTCAACAACACCAAGCACCTCAACCAGATGGCGGACAATCAAATCCTCAAGTGACTGGACAAGCACAACCACCCCATCCTGCTCAGGGTGGACCTGGTACGCAACCCCAAGAACTCTCGGATATGTTACAGATGCTACAGGATCAAGGCGGAGCATCTGGTTTCGAGGAGTTAAATATGTTTAATACTAACTTCGAGTAGCGACAAGGAAATAGTATTGAAGAATGTCTACCTTAAAGGAGCTTTAAGGTTTAAATCATTGTCTCGAGATCACACCGAGCATCATAATCAGCACTTTTACTTCAGCAATTAATTGAAAGCTCGCAATTAGCACCTCACATATAAACTTCATCTGATTTGGTGTTGGGGTTAGGATGGCCTAACTTCATCCATTCATTAGCAATTCTTTTCTGAGAAGTTTCGAACCATCACGTTTGCTAGTACGATTTTGAAGATCGTATGAGATGTTGAGACAATTTGTCGAAAAATTCATGAACATCATTTCGTGAAAGTGCCATTAAATTT